CATTTCACATAAAATTAATAAAAGGGCATATAAGTAATGTCAAATTTAAAATTTATCTCCTTCTTTTTTACACAACGTATTGCATATAATAGCTCCCTTATTAGGCGTACAATAACATATATTCTTCTTCTTTACACAACGTATTTGGTGTGTGTGTGTGCTTAGTTATCTGAATTTCGACTTCGGGCGGTTTTGATAAAAATTTATATCTGACTTTACTTGGATTGAACTTGGATGCATTGGTCAACGTTTGGAATATTTTTGCAAGTCTGGGGAACTGGACTTTAAATACGGGCCGAATTTAAATTTTTGCGCATATACAAAAAAATTTGCAACCAATTCTCTTGAAATTTAATATTTAAAGTAAAGATTTACAATAATAACTTAGTAATATTTTTTTGGTGATATCAGGACTCGGAAATTAAGCTGTAACTAGAGGTCGATATTCAATAATTTACCATACCATTAGCTAATTGACGAAGTTTCTTGAAATTTAATATTTGATTTCTATTTGTTACTAAAACTAACTGACGACATTATTATGCCGAAATACGATTCGGCATAATAACAACCTTAATGGCTACTAAGAATTCAATTTCCACTTTTATGGGATATGTCAACCCTTCTAGGCATGTTATAAAAGAAGTGTTTCGGGCGACATTTTTACTATATTTACAGCTTTACCGTTCGGTATTTGCAGATCACAAGTTTGTTCTTTTAGGTTTGCGGATCACAAGTTTTATTTTTATTCTTCGGCATTTTCTGTTTATTTTGTAAGTAAGGTAAATTTTGAAATTTTAAAATAAAAGGTATCTGACCATTGGTGCAATGGTTATGGCACCGGTCCTTTAACCGAAGGGTCTCGGGTTCAAACCCCGGTCAGGTCACTATAAAAATTATATTCAATATTATATAACTTAATATGCAATACTAATAAATGTTATACAAGTAATTTTCAAATTATCGTAATATTCGATATTAAAAAAAACTAAGAAAAATAAACAGTAAATATTAATAACCTCAAATAATTTATATAAATAAAACTACGGCAGGCTAGTCACCTACCTAGTTAAAACTCTATGACGCTATGAAACTATTGCATGAGAAATCATGCACTAGCCCTATGCTCCTTCTAGGAGTGAACAAAGGAAAAAAAAAAAATAAAAGGTAATCTAGGAAAATTTGCAGAATACTGAGAATTTATACTTCAATGCACCATTAACGTTACCCGTATTCTATAATAGTATTTTTAATACGTCGATAACGAAGAAAAACAAAGCTCTATTATTAAGAGATTTATGTAAACTAAAGTAATTCTACGAAATTTGAGCTGGATAGATACAACGTTGGCTTTATGTGGCCTTACGAATTTTTTTTTAGATCAACTTTTTTTTTGTTTTAATATTTAAAGTGAAAACTTCTATTTTCGCCAATTTTTTCCTTTTTATTTTGGCAACCATTTCTTTTACTACCTTTTTTAACCTTTCAGCAGTTCTTCATTTGGTTTTTTTTATGTCATTATTTAACTTTAACTACTTATATATGCGCATTGTAAATTTAAAATGGAAATGATGAAAAATGAAATTGAAATTATCATCAAGTATTGTAGAATTCATTTTGAATATAGAAATTTTATGTAATTATTTCCTATTCGAGCCAAATTAAGTTCCTAGTTTTTGTTACTTTTACTGAGTTTAAATATATATACATACATATATCTTTAACTATACATATATTACGGATAAATAAACCATTATTTTGTACTAATGATATTTATAGGATTCTATTTGAAACCTCTTTCTTAAACTAAAAAATATTCATATGAAAAAAAATTAAGAAAAAAACTGAAAGAAAAAATAAAATTATTTAGAAGAGTTGCCAAAACAATAAAGAAAAAAATAGATTTTGTTTTCAAAGGATATGATTAGTCTTGTCTAGATAGGATAATTTATCGAGTAAGACAAAAATCAAATCATTACCCTACTTTTGTGGGAAGAAGAATTTCAGAAAGTGTAAATTTTATAAATTTAAGAAATTTATAAAGTTGTTCTAGATAATTTTAAATATCCCCAAAAAAATAGTTATAAAAATATTTAGTTTTACTTTTACTGATTTTTTTTAACAATTAACGGGCTGTGAAACTGATACGCTTCCTGACGGTAGGCCGCTGATGACAATATAAGTATGAGATATTTTGTAGAGCAGAGAATTTGTGAAACGCAATATGACTTGGACAAACACCTAAATGAAGAAAGATTTATATGTCGGCTTTACAATTTATTTTATCAATTGCATTTCAATTGCATTACGAAAGATTTTTTATTTGATCATGAAACCTGCATAATATGTTAAAAACTTTAATTTCAAAGTTCAATAAAAAGATAGAACAGAGAAATGCAAACCAGATAATTTTAACAGGAAATCAGAAAAAGGAAGCTTATTTATTTATTCAAATATTTGTAGAAGATTTGTATTCGGCATTAGAGCGAGTTTGATTATATCTATACTTTGGGAATTAATTTAATTTCAATAATTATTACGTAGGTATAATAAGTAAAACATAAAAATGTAGAGGTTATACCAAGGTTACAATTATGACGATAACAATATTAGTGATTGACTCAATGATACTGTCAAAAATTTTTAATATAAAATTAATAAGTTTATGAATTGCTGCGGTACTATTCGGTACCTTTTGTTTAATTTCGATTTTTCGGAAGCTATGTATAGTATCATTAAGATAAGATAAAAGAATTTTGATTAATAAGAATTACTTTTTAAGAAATATCGACTTTTTTTTTTTAATTTAGATCGGAACAGGGATAAATAGATAATTTGATAATTTGTATTGTGCTATACAACATTAGGAAAAATTAGGTAAATTTTCATTGAGCGTTTTGTAGTCAAAAATATTTTTCTATGATTACGCATTTAAGTAGTAAAACATATATACATTAATACATTACATTATTCTATACATACATACATAGGTATGTTATTGTATTATGTAATAATAATGTGTTGTTTTTTTTTTTTTTTGGAAAAATGAATTGAATTTACAATACAATTGAATTGAATTAAGTATTTATTTGTACAAGTGTAATACAACTATTGTGTATAATTTTTTTCTAATAAAAATGATATTTTTTTACTTTCTATTGTTCACTTTGAAAGAATCAATTAACTCCTATGTATAAACATACATATAATGTTACACACAAATAATGTATGCTATGCAGAATTTACTGAAATGAATAACTATTCAATTTTACCGACGAAAAGAAACTATAAAAATAGAAAACCGCATAAGTAACAAAATTCACATTTTCTGTAATCACGTTATAGATTTAAAATGAGTTTTTTAAAAAAAAATCATCAAATATATCGACAGATTTGAATTTCTTATTCAACAATTTTCGTTAATACATCTTTTATAATTTGAACGTTTCGTCATTTGTTATATTAAGCCTACTTTTTATTTTTTAAACAAAAAACTTAATAAAAACTTAAACGTCAACAAGTTTATATAAAGGTCATTTGCATTTCCTAAAATTCACATAGGTCACTACCAGAAAAGGAAACTGACTTTAAATTTTTTCATGCTCAATCTATTAGCATGCAGCATTTTGTTATACATGACCTACAAAATAGTAGCTTTTGTATGCTAATTTGAAAATCACTAAAAAACAGCACTAAAATACTATATATATACGTATATTTACTTAATTGTGGCAAATCATTGCGCCAGCTATCTATAGGTCAGCTGTGAAAAAATTATTCTTTTGATTTGAATTGTGAGAAAAAAAAGTCTAGGAGAGAGTTCGCTTTATAATATACACACGTATGTAGGAAATTGAAAACATTTCCATAATTTCTACCAAAAAGCTTTCACTATTAATTTAATACATCTGTTTTATTCGTAACTCATTTTTCTTAATTAGTAAGAATACATAAGTATTTGAAATTTTATTTCAAATACTTATGGTTTGTTAAATCCTCAAGGTCATATTATGTTCCAATTATTTTTTATAATGCCATCAGCTTATCTTAAATTCAATATAGCAAATTATTTACTTGATAAAATCAACGTCATCACTTCAAATTTGATATTGCAATGATAAAAATTTAATATAGTGAATCAAGAAATTTTAGAACTCATATGTGTGTATCATCTATAGATTTAATAAATCAAATAATTTGATTAAAGTTATATTTAATCTATTACATTATGTATTTATTGAATTATGTGGCTTTAACAATGATATCTAAGATATTAAAATTTAATATATTTAGAAAAAAAAAAAAAAGAGTTTCCGTGCGATAATAAAACAAAAGCGAATTAAGCTTTGCAAAGTTTACTAATAACTCGTTTTTCTCTTATCTCAACTTAATCGGTTACCTGTTTATACCTCATATAATAATTTAAAATTATCGTTATGAACAATACAACAAGCAACTTTAACTTTTAAATATATTGTAATTAAAGTTTATGGCTATGCTATGAGATTTTTATGTTCAATTTATCTCAACAATTTATTTAATGGCTGTACAAAGCAATGTTTTTTTTTAAAATGATATTATTCAGTCAGAAAAAAACTTCATTATTACAACATGTTTTTTAATTTAATTAAATATAACTAACAATTTTTTTAAATTAATTTTAGCATTCATCGTGATATTATCAAAAAGAATTTTTTAAGTGTTATAAACCTAAAATAAATTTTTGGATTGTTTTAAGAAAAAATACACAAATTATGGTCGGTTGATTACTATGTTTATCAACCTAAATTTATTTTAGGTTGAAAATAATTTGATGAACTTATTTTAAATTTTATTTTTGAAACGAAATATTGAAAAAAGAAAACAGTTGACAATTTTGCCGCGGACTTTAGTTTGAAATGGTTCGTCCTCACTATTTTAATATTTTCAATTCAATATTTATAAAATAAGATCTAATTGTTACTTCATTGCAATTAAATAAAATTATATTTTAATATTAGGAGGAAAAGCCTATCGGATGGACATTTTGGATAACTACTGTTGGTATATTAACTACAATTGGTTCGGCCGTTCCAGTTGGATATAATATTGGTGTAACAAATAGTTTATCAAGTGTGAGTTCATATAATAATATATGTAAATATAACCGAAAAATAAATTTTAAATTTCAAATGTAAATTAAATTAATTCAGAGTTAAAGAGTGCAATAAAATTTATATTTTGTAAAATAATTTTTGTTCTAAGAAAAGTGCGCGTAAAAAATGTAAGTTATTACGTGTTGTTTTGGAATATTTTGGAAAATTACGAGAAAAAAATTGTTTTTGTGATTTTAGATAAAAAAAAAATATCAATTATTCCACAACTACTTTAAAATTTTCCATGATAACATAAAATTATTATTATTTTGTTTTTTGAATTCTATTTGAGATTTTCATGTTATTTATTTAGTACATAAAAGATTGGTGTCAAGAAACATTTCTTGAAAGATTTGATATCAGTTTAACTGAAGAATCATTGGATATTATTTTTGCTGTGATAGTTTCAATATTTCTTATTGGTGGCGCTATTGGAAGTTTAGGTGGAGCATGGGTCGCAGATCGTTTTGGAAGGTAAAAAATATGTTAACATTTATTATAATTGCTATGAATAATTGGAAAATTTAAATAAGAAGAAATATTATGTATGTTAATATTATAGTGAAGTGCATGTGATATTAAAAATTAAAAAAGTTAAATTCAAGTTATTTGCTCACGTCGAATTTACTAAAATCAAACTTGCATACAAGAGGCTTGGTTGTTACATTAAAGTTATTAATAATTTTTTCAATTCATAAATTTAATTTGATTTTTGCACAAGCCAAGTTTAATTCATGGCTATCGTTATGCTGTGATATTCTTGTCACTTCGTATTTTGTATTAACTTTGTAGCTTTTCGTACGAATAATTTGTATAATTTAATATCGTAATAATATTGTTTAATAAGCTCCCTTTCATATAATGTAATTACAATTCATATATACATTATGTGTGTAATATTAAACTTTTACGTTTAAAATTTTGCAGAAAGGGCTCCTACTTCATAAGTGGGATATTATTAATGATTGGTTCTCTTCTGTTTTATTTTTGTCGACCATTAAAATCTATTGAAATGCTTTTGTTAGGAAGATTAATAGTTGGTTTGGCTGCAGGTCTGTGTACCGCTTCCTTGCCTATGTATTTGACGGAAATTGCTCCATTAGCCTTACGTGGGGCTTTAGGTATATTTACAAAATTTTTAAAATAATACTTAAGTAAAAATTAATAAATTCTTTTTTCTAAATATTTTTTATATAGGAACATTTTGCCCAATTGGTCTCACAGCTGGTATTGTGATTGGACAAATATTTAGCTTAAGATATACTTTTGGCACAGAATTACATTGGCATTGGGCTTTGAGTGCTTACATACATTTAGTAGTTATAGGTTTATTTTTCGTTTATTATTTTCCTGAAAGTCCAAAGTACTTGTATCTTGTAAAAGATCAGCCGGATGAAGCAAAAATGGAATTATGTCGACTTTTTAATAATAATATGAAAATTGTGAACGTTGAATTAGATGAAATGAAAAATTATAAATTAAAGAATACAAAAAAAAGTTCCGCAATCAGTGTTTTAAAAAATCCAGAACTATTTTTACCGTTAGTAATTGTCTGTGTAAGTTTACAAATATAACTTCATATTACAGTTCAAATTTTATATGTTTCAAATATTTAAAGGCTTTTACGGGAGGTTTACAATTATCAGGAATTAATGCTGTAAATATATTTTCTTATATTTAAAGTAGTACGTCGAAACAGAGCTTTTTTTTAGATATTTTATTATTCGGTACCAATCTTTATAAAAGCTGGTTTAAGTCAAACCGATGCGGAATGGACTAATTTTGCAGCTGGCTGTTTAAACTTGATCATGTCTTTTTTTGGACCTTTTCTCATGAAGAATTTTAATCGCAGAACTTTGATGATGTTTTCCACTAGTATTGATGCTGTGATGCTTTTCACTGTGGTAATTACTCTACATTTTATTGTAAGTTACCGAGTTCCTCTTTTTATCACTTAGTACTTAGTTTACAGATATAAAAATTTTAATATTCCATAAGTTAAATTATGTTTCAAATTTTATTTTAGAGTGAAAATTCTTGGATTCCTTATGTGTGTATTGCAGCTATATTTGCTTACATATTATTTTTTCAATTTGGATTGGGACCTATCCCGTACTTTATTGGATCAGGTAATTTATTTCATTTATGATTTTCAAAGAAAAGTTTAACAACATAAAGGTTTCGTACATATTAATTGCTTATTTAAAAAAAAAAATTATAACACATTTTATTCTTTAATTTTAATTAATAATAGGTAATCAATAATTCTAATATTGGTTTGGCACCAGCTTGCTAAATTAAAAAAATAAGAACATCCATTTCAAATAATTTATCATTTCTTTTACAGAGTTGTTTGAAACTGAATCTCGCCCTGTAGCAATGGCAATGGGTAGCCTTTCTTCATGGTAAATTAATATACAATTGCATTCACTTTCAAAAATATGCTACAATTTCAGGTTATGCAATTTTATTGTTGGTATAACATTTCCAACTTTACAATCAATTTGGGGTGCTTTTGTTTTTATGCCTTTCTCATTAACATGTGTCTTACTCTTCTTCCTAACTAGATATTATCTACCAGAAACAAGAGGTCGTGATGTGTCTGATGTAGCTAGATCAGTATCAAAAGGTTTTAGATCGAAACAAATCTAAATTTTTGAGAAAATATTTTTATTATATAAGAATATAATAGTACCTAGTTATAAGATTTTAAAGTATTAAAGATAAGTATTTGTTTTATATGTTGTTTCTCATGACAAAAATTTTATCGATTTTTAATTTAATGACCATCTTCATTAAGTATTAATTTATGATTCGTCCAAAATGTAAAAATAATATTTTTTGCTGTTTGACTAGTGATTTATTTGAAGCTCATGGATTTTTATTTATTGTAAGTATGCACATACATCTATTGTATTTCATAATGCTCCTTTATCTATTTATCAAAAAATTTCTAAAGCATCGAATGAAATTGGATGATTGACATTTATTTTGAAAATTGGCTGTAGTATACATGCATGCATACATAGTTATTGTGTGTTTATTTTGATTTCAATTATTTTTAGCACTTTTAAAAAAAAATTTTTGAAAAAAAGTGCTTATTAGTTTCACTCTGTCCGTCCGTCGGTCTGTTTACAAAACTTCTACACCCTTGAAGATAGAAAGCTGAAATTTTGTACGTACATAGATCTTTCCCAGAAACTTATTTCCGAAGAACAAAATTTTTATCTATCTCCCCCCCTCTAGAAGTTATACCCCCTCAAAACCTTAAAAATGGCCTTTTTTAACTATTTGTTGCAATGAAACCATAAGCATTTTTTAAATTTTGCAAATTCAGAAAGGCAGCGGTTTGCTTTCCCTAGTGCGGTATATTATAGTTAAACTTTAGAAAAACAAAATGGCCGTTCAAATTAACCGTTATCTAAAGTCTTTTTTTTCCAAATTTTTTATTTCGATTTTCTTCTAGACCCCAGTCTGTAGAAGCTTGAAATTTTAGGGGTTTATAGACATTAACAAATAGTTCATTTCGTTAGAAGAAAATTTTTTTCCATCTCAATCCCCTCTCAAGTTATTGCCCCTTGAAATTTGTAAAATTTGAATTTTTGGCGCCTAATATTTCCGAAACCGCAAACGTTTTAAAATTTCTATAAACATAAAAAGCTAGCGGTAAATTCCATGACATTAAAAAATGTAATTATTTTTTAACTCACACAATTAACCCTTAAAATCGAGCATTAGGTTAACCCCTCTTTATATTAATTTTTGCTTTATTTCAAAGACTGCATAAATCGTTCATCCTAAATATATGCAATCCTAGAAATAGTTAAATATGAATGAAAATAATTTTAATAGTGTGATATGTATACATAGACTGTATTTAAAAGCAGAATTTTCACTTTTGAAGGGAAAAGTGCTACAATACAAAGTGCTACCATTGGTTTGACCCAACTTTATTTATTATAAAAGGTAATTTATTTGAATTTTCTTCTTTTTGCGTATAAGTGAATTGACAGTACTGTTCAAGAAATTGTATAAAGAACACCGTTCAGAGTAATATTTGTACCAAACCTTGCAATCAGACATAATAGAAATTTTAAACTTTAATATTAATTTATAGAAAATTATGTGAGAAACAAATAATTTAAAGGATATTCTATAAGAATCTAGAAAATTTTTTTAAACGTACGCATTTGAATTTTTATGAAGGAAAGCGATAAATTTTTTTGACATACTTGATTTGATACTACAAATCAAACTACACAATATTCATAATAAAATAATTAAATATTCATTGTGCCACTAAAATTAATCATTTACAAATTATGATTAGTTATATAATTAATTAATATTGACACATTCATTTCATGTTTAATTAAGTTTAATAAGTAAATAATTTGACTGAAGTTTTTCATCATTTTCTTCTTTTTTCCTCATTTTATCAAAATCAGTAATAATATATAATGGGGATGTATATATGTATTTATTTAGATCGAGACTGATTGTTACAACAAAAAAGGAAAAGATAATGAGGTTATTATAATAAAATTTATTCAATGTATTAGAACATACGTATACGTAACGTATATATGTGTGTATGTATGTAGAATACATTTTTTGTACTTATACTTAACATTTGAGAGAATTTAAAATAAAATGATGAAAAAATAAACTTTGTGGCTTAGGTAATTTTATTATCAAAATTAATATTTTGTACATAATTTACCTATATATAAGTATGTGTATATAATATTATATTATGTAAATGTGATTACTTTGTATATATATTTATTATGACATGAGGCAAGTAAATTTATTAAAATGCCTCAAGGAATAATTGTGACAATTCCTCATATAGACATTGAAATATAAAATTTAAATATAAAAACCAGTAAAGGAAAAAAACAGGAAAATTATAAATTACTTTACTATCTAATACCAACTATGCATTGCCAGTACAATAGTACCAATAAAGTTATTTTAATTTGAAAAAAAAAAATTGACTCTGACAAATGTAATTGCCTGAAGATTTTATACAAATTTTTTTTGTAAATTAAACCTTTTTAATAATTTAAAGATGAGCTTCACTAATCCTCGCATTTTAGAAAGAAAAAGGAGTTAGTCCAGCGATTACAGGTATAACTCAGTCACTTTGTTTGGAAAGATCAGATAATTAATAGTTTTATTAATAAAAAATATTTTCGAAGTGAGAAATCCTTTTGAAAATATGAGAAATAGGACCAGCAAAATTGGAAATTTTCATTTCAAAAGTCCTTAAAAATTATTAAAGAGCGTAAAACTCGAGTTTTATGGTCACCATTTTGAAAATATTGAATATTTTCTATCCGATGTTTACAAATTAATTATTTATTACAGATAGCGTGTAGAAACAATTCGGACATGTTTTTTTTTTTGTTGCTTCTTAATAACAATTTTTTATTTTTGCCGACGCTTTGAAAAATCTGAAATATTTTGTTTCCAAATTCTATTTCGTTTTAATTTATGATTTACAGTCAATATTTTGACTTAAAATACTTCAATAACAGTGTCTGGCAGCTCTCAATTCATTGATAATATCACACCATATAATAGGTAAGTGTTGCAATATAAAAAATGTTTAAATTTCGTTTTCATTATTTTTTTTTATCTAAAAAGGTAAAATACTTTTTCTTTACTCTTACTTCAAGTTTCTTTTTTTTCTTTTATAACTATATAAGTATAGTATTCTTTCACATTACCAATCTGACTTGAAATATGTACATTATGCCCACTTTTTAAAAAAGAAATTTTAAAAGTCCACAGATTTAACGTTTTAGATAAATTTGTTAGGTATTTTGGCATTTTTGCACGTACCACTTGGGGCTTTAATAGAGATTCAGTTAAATTATTTGTTTTTTTATTTTATTATTTTATATGTATATCTGATATTATTTACTCTTATACATTATAAAATATATCTACATTAATATAGAAAATATACAAATATAAATTTAGGTCCATCAGATTAAATATACAAATATTGTAATAAATTTATTTTATGTACATGTGTTTGTTCGTTTAAATATATTTATTTTTGTTCAGATTTATAAATTTATTTGTGTAAAAGGAGAAGTTCTTACATGTCCCACCATATCGAGTGTCTTTTCTTTCGTGTATATACATTGAAAGACATTAGAATTTTGCACATGCTTATGCACAAACCTGTTAAGTTCGTATGTATTTTCATGAAATTGTGTTTATATCTCGATTATTTGTTTGTTTGCTTTAATGCTTTTGTTTTTGGATTTTTTTAAGTTAAAGTTTTTATTTATATTTTCTCATTTATTTAAATATTTTTGTAAGTCAATTGCAAATTTTAAGAATCCTGTTTTTTCATACCATTTCTTTTAGAAATTAATGTTTTAGTTCAATCTATTCTAAACTCTTTATTCTATTTAGTAACCATTTTTTAATTTTCTAATCCGCTAAAATCAGAGTTAACTTGTAATTTTGTTAATAACAGAGTAATTTATGTTAAAATCGCAGATTTTATGAGGGATACCATGTGAAGAGATTTCGTAAGTCTCTGATTGCTACTACCTGTCCGAAAACATAAAATCGATTCCAAACACGATATATATACATAAATTGATTTTTTAAATTTTAACCACATTTAAACTCTTTTTAGTCTCTGAAATCTGAAATGACGGGAACAAGAATGTCTATTGAAAATTGATTTTGAAAAATATCAACATTGACCATTAAGAAAATTATATAAAATAAACTTGTTAGAATTTTACAAAAAAAATATTAATTTATGATTTTTCTTTTGTACATTTCAATAGAAATTATTGTGTTAAAAATGACGTATAACAGAAAAGAAAAATTTTTTATAATTTACAGACTACAAAGGAACAGCAATAAAAAGAAGTCAATAAAAAAGTGCTCATATTTACTTATTTTATTGCAAAATTATTTAAACAATCCAAAAAAATATATTTTGAATAAATTAATGAAAAACAGTGAATCACGAATAACAAAATTTCTTATAAAATTTTTGATTCAGTAAAATTATTCCCTAACATGAGTAGTTACAATAAATTAAAACACAAAATTATTCAATATTTATTAAGTTGTCCTTAATATTTGATTGTTGGTGTAGGTTTGCTTTATTTAGCCTCTATTTCGAGTACTCATGCAGTTGTCTTGAATTTCACGAATTTTTCTGTAGCAAATAGAATTCACCTAAAATTCATTACTTATTTGTTTTTTCTTTGATTTCATTTTAAAAATTTTTGGACTTATATAACACTATTAAAAAAAAGTAAAAAAAAAATTAGTCTTCTCTTTTTTCCATAAGAATACTGTTAAAATCTAAAATGCTAGACATGATTTGAAAATAACTTTTTTTTGTATTTTGATTTGTTTTTTTCTTCCTTTTGCAAATGGAAAAGGAGGTGCCTACAATTTAGTATAAGTGTAGGTGTGGGATGGATGCTAAACATGGCTTCTGATTTTAAATATTTTTTATAAAAGCATTTCTCTTCCTTTAATTTTTCCTTCATTTCGTTCAATTCTGCTAGACTTTTTTTTCTTTGTAAACTCTAATATAGGGTAAAAGAGATGTTAAAAAATGACAAAATAAATTACTGTAAAATTAATTTATGCCAAAATAG